CTTAACTTGATCTCCTTCAATGCTGAAATTGCCTGAAGTCCTGTCTGTCTGGGGCTGTCCAAAGTCGAGTTCCGCCCCCCCCCAAGTACTGGGATTGTGTTTGGAAGCTCTGAGGTTGAATTTCAGATTGACCCTTTTATATCTAAATTTGGGACATAATGTAGTTCGTTCTCTGGCTGAGGAGAACTGCCTTGACCAACTAGGAATCCACCATGTGAAACATGTAACTGACCCAGAAACGCTGGGCTCTGAGCATGCTTTTGATTTCATTAGCACCTCATTAAAAACCTCAGGATTTTGTCCGGCCACTGGCTGTTACATATAATTATTAAATAGTGATTTTGGAATGCGTCTGGTTGCTTTATGTGGTGTGGCAGATTGTCCAAGTATCTCTCCTATAAAGACATGATGTCAAAGCCTTGTCAGGTAGATTTTGATCTTCAATTTTTATCTGAATAAATCAAAAACATCGAATTTTGATTTTGTTTTTTTGTGGAAGGTTTATGCACTGTTCAAAGCCAGTGTGTACCTTCCATTCGCAAACTCCATTTACTACCACTGAATCCATCCTTCCCTTCTCTGACTGATTAATTTTGCTTGAAACTCTGTACAGCCTGTGATAAACTATCTGAGGTTGATACAGGCTGAGCATCCAGTGTCCTATCCTTATGATTGCAAAGATCATCTATTTCACAACTTTTAACAATGTCCCCTGTTGTCGAAGCAGATTTGTTGAAGTCCTAATTCCAAATTGTCAATTGTCAATTCCAAAAGTCAAGTATTGGTATGGTTCTTTGCTTCTCCCTTTCCCCATCTCAGAAACTGCCTGTGGTCCTGCACTTCTATGACAGGTCTGCTTTCCAGTCTTTTTAGACAGAGCTTCTCACTCATTACCTCCCATATTGACACCAGTTCTCTTAGTCCTGAGTTCTGGACATCTCTCTGTACGTCAATCTGTTTCTCTGCTTCTCTTTCCTCCTAAAATCCTACTTAAAACTTACATTTTAATTAAAACCTTTGTCATCCTTCCAGTATCTCCTTATTTATTCCAGCATCAATCTTTTTTCAAATTGTGTTGCTGTGAAGTGCCTGGTGCTTTTGTATTAAATGTGCTGCAAATGCCAGTTGTTCAAAACACTGACAATAGATATGAAAACACATTAAGTTTAACTTGTGCGTGTGAGCTTGGTGATACATAGTTGCTGTACCCAGTGACTTCTTTCCTGTAGCATGGAGGCCAGAATTGAAGCATTCCAAAAGTGGCTAACCAATGTCCCGTACAGATGCAATATGACATCCCAACTCCCATACTCAATGTGGATTGAGAAGGAGCAAAACTTGACCTACTCTTGGGGGAAATAAGGCAGAGCAAATGACTGAGGTGTCACAGTTGGGGAAGCACTTTGGGGCAAGTGACCATAAGTCTATTAGTTTTAAAATAATTATGGAAAAGGATAGACCTGATCTAAAAGTTAAAATTCTACAGTGGAGTAAGGTCAATTTTGACGGTGTAAGGCAAGAACTTTCAAAAGTTGATTCAAGAGGCTATTCGCAGGTAAATCATAGAATCTCTACAGTGTGAAACAGGCCGTTTGGCCCAATAGGTCCACACCAACCCTCGAAGCATCCCACCCAGACCCATCCCCCTACAACCTAATCTACACACTGTGAACATTATGGGCAATTTAGCATGGCCAATCCACCTAACCTGCATATCTTTGGACTGTGGGAGGAAACCCGCACAGACACAGGGAGAATGTGCAAACTCCACACAGACAGTCGCCTGAGGGTGGAATTGAACTTGGGTTCCTGGTGCTGTGAGGCAGCAGTGCTAACCACTGAGCCACTGTGCCGCCCAAAGGATTTTTGGAAAGTGGGAGGCCTTCAAAAATGAGAGTGTGCCTCTGGACTCTTGCTATGTTTCTGTTAGTGTGAAGAACAAGGCTGGTAGGTGTAGGGAATGTTGGATGACCACAGAAAACAAGGCCCTGATCAAGAAAAAGGAGGCACATGGTAGATATAGACTGCTGGGATAGAGTGAATCCCTCTGTATAAGAGCAGTAGGAGTATACTTAAGAGGGAAATCAAGAGGGTAAAAAGGTAACATGAGATAACCCAATTTGCCAGAAATAAGAGAGTTACAAGTAGCCAGGAAGGACCTAAAGAGAGAGCTAAGAAGAGCCAGGAGGGGACATGAGAAGTCTTTAGCAGGTAGGATCAAGGAAAACCCTAAAGCTTTCTATAGGTATGTCAGGAATAAAAGAATGACTAGAGTAAGATTGGGGCCGGTCAAGGACAGTAGTGGGAAGTTGTGCGTGGAGTCCGAAGAGATAGGAGAGGTGCTAAATGAATATTTTTCGTCAGTATTCACACAGGAAAAAGACAATGTAGTCAAGGAGAATACTGAGATACAGTCTATTAGACTAGACGGGATTGAGGTTCATGAGGAGGTGTTAGCAATTCTGGAAGGTGTGAAAATAGATAAGTCCCCTGGGCCGGATGGGATTTATCCTAGGATTCTCTGGGAAGCTAGAGAGGAGATTGCAGAGCCTTTGGCTTTGATCTTTATGTCGTCATTGTCTTCAGGAATCATGCCAGAAGACTGGAGATGAGCAAATGTTGTCCCCTTGTTCAAGAAGGGGAGTAGAGACAACCCTGGTAATTATAGACCAGTGAGCCTTACTTCGGTTGTGGGTAAAGTGTTGGAAAGGATTATAAGAGATAGGATTTATAATCTTCTAGAAAGGAATAATTTGATTAGGGATAGTCAACATGGTTTTGTGAAGGGTAGGTCGTGCCTCACAAACCTTTATTGAGTTCTTCGAGAAGGTGACCAAACAGGTGGATGAGGGTAAAGCGGTTGATGTGGTGTATTTGGATTTCAGTAAAGCATTTGATAAGGTTCCCCATGGTAGGCTATTGCAGAAAATACGGAGGCATGGGATTGAGGGTGATTTAGCGGTTTGGATCAGAAATTGGCTAGCTGTAAGAAGACAGAGGGTGGTGGTTGATGGGAAATGTTCATCCTGGAGTTCAGTTACTAGTGGTGTACCTCAAGGATCTGTTTTGGGGCCACTGCTGTTTGTCATTTTTATAAATGACCTAGATGAGGGCGTAGAAGGATGGGTTAGTAAATTTGCGGATGATACCAAAGTCGGTAGAGTTGTGGATAGTGCGGAAGGATGTTGCAGGTTACAGAGGGACATAGATAAGCTGCAGAGCTGGGCTGCGAGGTGGCAAATGGACTTTAATGCGGAAAAGTGTGAGGTGATTCACTTTGGAAGGAGTAACAGGAATACAGAGTTCTGGGCTAATGGTAAGATTCTTGGTAGTGTGGATGAGCAGAAAGATCTCTGTGTCCATGTGCATAGATCACTGAAAGTTGCCACCCAGGTTGATAGCGTTGTTAAGAAGGCGTACAGTATGTTAGGTTTTATTGGTAGACGGATTGAGTTTTGGAGCCATGAGGTCATGTTGCAGCTCTACAAAACTCTGGTGCGGCCGCACTTGGAGTATTGCGTACAGTTCTGGTCACCGCATTATAGGAAGGATGTGGAAGCATTGGAAAGGGTGCAGAGGAGATTTACCAGGATGTTGCCTGGTATGGAGGGAAGGCCTTATGAGGAAAGGCTGAGGGTTTTGAGGCTGTTTTCGTTAGAGAAGAAGGTTAAGAGGTGACTTGATAGAGACATACAAGATGATCAGAGGATTAGATAGGGTGGACAGTGGGAGCCTTTTTCCCCGGATGGTGATGGCTAGCACGAGGGGACATAGCTTTAAATTGAGGGGTGATAGATATAGGACAGATGTCAGAGGTAGGTTCTTTACTCAGAGTAGTAAGGGCGTGGAATGCCCTGCCTGCAAAAATAGTAGACTCGCCCACTTTGAGGGCATTTAAATGGTCATTGGATAAACATATGGATGATAATGGAATAGTTTAGGTTAGATGGGCTTCAGATTGGTTTCACAGGTCGGCGCAACATCGAGGGCCGAAGGGCCTGTACTGCGCTGTAATGTTCTATGTTCTATAAGGAGAATCCAAAAAGACTTGCCCCTTTCTCTACCTATGTTGTTGGTACCAACGAGTACAATGACTTCTTTCTGCAGGTCACTCTCCCCTTGGAGAATGTTCTGCACCCTCTCCGAGATGTCCTTGACCCTGGCACCAGGGAGGCAACGCTCCATTCTGATGTCTCGCTGTTGAATGCAGAAACGTCCATCTATGCCCCTGACTAGAGAGTCCCTATCACTACTGAATGTTTGGAACCTGATATGCCCCTCATTACAGTAGATCTAAACACTGTGTCAGAAATCTGACTGTCAATGCTACATTCCCCTGATCGTCTCTTACCCCCTATATTTTCCAATACAGCATACTTATTTGAGATGGGGATAGCCAATGGAAACTGCTCCAGTACCTGCCTGCCTCTCCTAGAGGTAACCCATCTAAGTGACTGTATCTGTGGTTTTTCTACTTGCCTGAAACTGCCACCCATCACATTCCCGGTTCTTGTAAATTCCTCATTGCCTCAGCTGCCACTCCAGATGATTCATGCAATCCTATAGGATTCGCAGCCAAACACACTTCCTGCGGATATAATCATCAGAAACACTGAAATTCTCCCTAATCTCCCACATCCTGCAGGAAGAGCATGGCACTCTGCAAAAGGCCATCTCTGCACCTCAATATACAGACCTAGAAAATAGCAGTCTTACTGCTCTAGGATAACTTAATACATTTGTTTATTTTTAAAAAAATCAAGATACAGATCTCAGTAAAACATTAAAAACTGACCCTACTCATTATTACAGATTTAAAAATAACAGATTAAGATTTATAAATTTTGTATGTGCTGAAAACAAACACTTAGCTGCTGCTAATACTCCCAGCTGCAAATAATTTCAGTAATGAGGTCTCTCCAAGGTCAGCTGTGAAATTTGTTTGTTTTTCTTGTCAATGTTAAATTAACTTTTTAAACAAAATCTAATTCTCTTATCAGTTGGTTGCAGTTTTCCTCATCCAGTATGAGAGGTTGAAGGGTGTCCAATCCTCTGCTATTCTTCTGATCTTTTGGCTGCTGGCGTTGCTATGTGCCATTCCACCATTGAGATCCAAAATAATGCAGTCGATTGACCAGGTAAGAACAATTAAAACCTTTTTCTTATTAGGTGTGATTTAGTGTTCTTAATCATCATACATGTATTTCATCTTTTTAGTACTAACCTAATTTTAATTTAGTGGTGTTTACCCACACCACCTCCACGCCTAACCTTCTCTTTCATGTTTCGCAGATTGTTACTAGGTAAGATTTGATGAATTCTGGTAGCCCTCTGAAGTTTCATGCAGAGTGTTTTTCTGACAGGGGTTGTTTGATTGTGGAAGGCATGTTGGTTAAGCATAAATGGTTAAGAAACTTGTCTTCACCTCTACTTTTCTGATAAGTTTGCTGGCCGCAGATGAGCGAGTTTAATTCTCTGTTTTGTAGCCAATGGATGAAGCTAATACCTGTAAGGGTTAGCTCCAAATCTCTCCTATCCATTAAATCATTGTGGAAGCTTCTGTGCTGAAGCTTAAATTCTTAGTTTTGAAATGTTACCTGGTAACTATTTTTTTTAAATCAAATGTTTTGATCTCCTGCTTGTTCAGAACAAACCAATGTTTCACGATACATAAGTTTAAGAGGCTTTGTTGAATTGATAAAGTTTCATCAAATCATTAAAATGATGAAAAATTGACAACTTGTGAAAGCATTAAAATATACCCCTTCCAATTGACTGTTTTTAAATCTAGCAACTGTTGATTGTTTGGTAAACCTCTTACTGATTTGATAAGTTCATAATATCGGTTAATATTTGAACTTTAGGTGTAACATCGAGTTTCTATAAAGATATCAGCTGCAGGAACTTTGTGGCTTTTGCATTTAGTTTGCATACATTTCCAAAGGTTGTCACTTTGGGATCTATTCTATCTTTTTACTGCACACGTTTTGAACTTGCTTGTGGTTGTGTCAGGATATTAAGATGAAGCGTTGACATTCATGTAGTAGTTATGTTTACTGTACTGGATACTGCACTTCCCAGAACATCACTGCATTTTTTGGTATCTTGTCTAATTGTTCATTCTGGTATCAACACAAACAGTATATTTACAGTCAATTTGACTTTGGTGTAAGGAGTTCATTAATGCCAAAACCATTTGTGTTCACGTGGTGCACTTTTATGCCAAGCACAATTTTTTGTATTAATTAAGCGCAGGAAAATCTGATTTTGTTCCTTTTTTACGTTGTTCTCCTGTCTCCAATGCATTTAAGGCATAAATTCTGAAACTTGAAGACAAGTCCCTAAATTAATTTGACCCACCCTATCCCTTCTAAGTCCCCTCCCAGACTGTCCCTTATTACATGGTCCTTTTCATCTTTTAAATATCTTCTTAAACCTGCTGTTTTGATGAGACTTTTAATTATTTTTCCTGTTCCTCGCTTGGTATTTGTTCCCTTGCTGCTTTTTATCCCCTTCTCCTAATGTATGTTAGGATATTAAATTTAATTCATTCATAAGATTTGGGCATTGCTGGCAGGGTAGATTCATTGGCCATCCCTAGTTACCTTTTTTGAAGGTGGTGGTGAGCTGCTGCCTTGAACCACTTTAGTCTTTGTGCTGTAGATAGACTTACAAAACCAGTAGGAAGGGAGTTCCAAGATTTTGACTCAGCAACATTGAAGGAACAGTGATTATAATTCCATATCAGAATGGTGATGTTTTGATATGTTAAAGTTGTTTTATACATGTAAGTTACTGAATAATGACAGTGCAAGAACAGCTTTTCAAGACTGTGACAGGCTTATTTTAAAAGAAACACGCATTAACTATGAACTTTGCATTTTATGCATTTTTAGAATTATAGAATAGTTACAGCACCAAAGAAGGTTATTCAGCGTGTCAATGTTGCACCTGCTATCTGAAGGAGAAATTTATATAATTCCATTCCTTTTGCTTGAAATAACTCCAGAGGCCGGTATCCCGTCACCAAGTCACCCTTTACTTACATGTGGAGAGTCCTTGACACTGATCCAGCTTCTTCAGAGCCAGCTCTCAAAGTGAGCAGAACGTCTGACACTCCTGTTCCTATCTGTCAGCCAGGGCTCCCTGATTGAACAGGATTAACAGCCCCAGTCAGGGAGCACGTATTCTGTGATGTCCAATTTGGCTGACCTCATTTCAATCACTACATTGCCCTTTCACTGTTAAACCTGCTTTTTTTTTTCTAATATAAAACAAAGAATTGGATGTTGAAGATCTTTAACAAAAACTAAGGTTCCTGGAGAAACTCTGCAAGTCTAGCAGGATCTGTGGGGAGAAAGCAAAGTTAACGTTTAGTCCAGTGACCCTTCTTCAGAACAGGACATTAATTGTCTTTTCAACTCACGGAATTTCTCCGGCAATTTTTGTTTTTGGTTCTACTATTATTTACTCTCTTCAACTGCTTATCTAGTTTCATTTTGAAAGCTGCATTTGGATATCCCTCCATTGCCCTTTTCAGGCAGTACATTTTTGATTGCAACCACTCACTTTTTTTAAAATGCATGGGCAAATATGGGATAACAGACACCAGCATGGATTTTTTGTTTTTTTTTTTTTTTTGAAAGGCCAGATTGTGTTCAGCTAATTTTTTGGGTTTTTTTTTTTTTTAAGGTAACAGAAGGTTGATGAAGGTCTTGCTGCTGATATGGATGTATTGACATGGACTTCCAGAAGACATTTGATTCTGCCACACAAGATATCTGTAACCTAAGTTACAGCCGGAATAAAAGATTGTTACAATATGGAAATGTGTGACGTAAAAACAAAGAATTGTGTTGAGTTAGCGCAGTGTGGATCTGGAGGAGCACAGCAGGCCAAGCAGCATCGGAGGAACAGGAAGGTTGATGTTTTGGGTAGGGGCCCTTCTCTTTTTTTTTTTTCTGAAGAAGAGTCCCAACCCGAAACGTCAACTTTCCTGCTGCTCTGATGCTGCCTGGCCTGCTGTGTTCCTCCAGCTTCGCACTGTGTTATCTCTGACTCCAGCATTGGCAGTTCTTACTATCTCTGAATTGTGTTGAGTTGTTGTTTTTCAGATTGGAGGAAGGTTTATAATGGAGTTCTCTGGGGTTCCTGTGTGGACATTTTTTGTTTTTCCTGATGCACATTAATTGCCTAGACCTTGGTGTGCAGTGTGTAATTTCATAATTTCGAAATATTATGGATAATGAGGAGAATGCTGTAGAATTTCAAATACATGTAGACAATTTGGTGGAATGGGCAGAGCAGTGAAATTCCGTGCAAGGTGATTCACTTTGGTTGGAAGAACATGGATAGACAATATAAAATAAAGGGTACAACTCTAGAAGGCGTGCAGGTGCAGAGGGACCTGGCTGTATACCTGCATATGCCATTGAAGATGGACAGGACAACTTGAAAGAATAGTTAATGATGCACACACTGTCCTGGGCTTTACCATTTGAGGCAGTGTGTATAACAGTAAGGAAGTTATGTTAAACTTGCAGAAAAACTAATCAGGCCTCAATTGGGGTGCACTTGCACATGTTCTCCGCTATAGCAGAAGCTTATCTCATTTGTTATGTGGACTCTTAAACACTACTTTTACTTTTACTTTTTTAACCAATCCACATTTCAACTGAACTTTGTCTGAGAGCAAGGTTTTCTGCAATAAGGTTGTTGTCCAACCTAAAAACTTAAACCACTTGAAGAGCGAATCATCCCCTATGGTTGGCATTTTTTCCCTCTATTGCTTATCTTCTTTTCAACCTGGTTGTATGATTATACTGGAAACCGTATATCAAATGCTAGAGCAACTTAAATCCCAAGATAACAGATCAAAGCACATGACCGTCATAACACCATCTACTGCTATTAGTCCCAAAGCTGTAGAGATGCAGCCTCTCGGGATTATAAGCCCTACCTCAACCTATTGATCCCAATACCCCAGGAATCTAAAGTCCTCTTTCCTGCAATATATCTTCAACTCTGTACCTATCTGCTGTGTTCTCCTATTTCTTTACTCGCTAGGGCATGGCACCACGTATCATCTATACTTCATTACGTTTGAGGTTCTGCTTAATCAAACAACTCCCTCGAGGACCCTCCACAAATGTTCCCATCCTCAATGATGGAAGAGCCAAACACAACATTGTGAATGATAAGGCACAAGCATTTGCAGCAATCTTCCACCAGAAGTGCTGAGTGGATGACCCATCTCGACCTTCTCCAGTGGTCCCAGCACTAGTTACCAGTCTTCAGCCAATTCGATTCACTCCACATTCTGGCAATAATGCTGCAGACTTGCTGCTCCCTTAGCCAAGCTGTTCCAGTAATTACAACACTGGCAACTACTGAACAATGTGGAAAATTTGCCCAGGTATATTCTGTGTACACAAAACAGGACAAATCCAACCTGGCCAATTGCTATCCAATAAGTCTACTCTTGATCATCAGTAAAATGATGAAAGGTGTCATCAACAGTGCCTCCTCAGCAGTAACATGCTCACTGAAGCTCAATAGCAGCGGTGTGTACCATCTTCAAGATGAACTACAGAATTTCACCGAAAATCCTTAGACAGCATTTTCCAAACCCATAACCACTTCCATCTAGAAGGACAAGGGCAGCAGATACATGGGAACACTACCACCTGCAAGTTCCCCTTCAAGTGACTCACTATCTTGACTTGGAAATATATCGCTATTCCATCACTGTCACTGGGTCACAATCCTGAAATTGGCTCTCTAAGGGCATTGTGGGTCAACCTACCTGCACGAGAAGGCAGCTCACCACCACCACCTTAAGTGTAATTAGGGAAGGGCAATAAATGCTGGCCAGCCAGTGATGCCCATGTCCCATGAATGAATTCTGAAAAACAAAATTAACTACCGCTCCATCATAACTCCCAACCTCCAGGACCTCATTACTCTTTCTGCCTGTATTGTTGGTATCAATTTAAAAAAAAAAAAAAATTGCCATAATGTTAGATTGTATGGCTGCTCTTTCTTTAGTGAGAGACAACTGGAGGGTCACTGTCCCTCAGGCAAGAGGAGAGTTTGTAAAGGGGAGTCTGTCATATAACCTCTGCCAGAGCAGAAATTGCTCTTGGAATTAGTCTACATCACAAACCAGCTGTTCAGCCAACTGAGCTAGTCAACCCCTGTATTAATATGGAACATAGAAAATAGGAGCAGGATCAGAGATAGTAGGAACTGCAGATGCTGGAGAATCCGAGACAACAAGGTGCAGGGCTGGATGAACACAGCAGGCCAAGCAGCATCATAGGAGCAGAGAGGCTGACGTTTCGGGCCTAGACCCTTCATCAGAAAAAGCTTTTTCTGATGAAGG